TATATAATAAAATAATTCCAATTATTTTACTTATAATTGCACAAAAATCGTATTAGTAAACTTACCGAATAGTCATGTATTTCAATTTTGTCAAAAGTAATTCCAAAAGATAACCACGATTAGGATCACCCAGTAGATGCAATTCGTCTATTATCACAGCTCCCAAACTACTTAAATCATTCTCCTCCATCAAACGATTCACTAGCGAATTCGCTTTCTCTATAGTGGCTATTGCAACATGGGTAGCAGCAAATCCACCAGGAGGTACAGATCCTCCCATAAATCCCTCCACTCTTATTGCAATGTCAGACAATAAATCCTGAATATGTCAATTTATCAGCATTGCTTCTTATAAATAATATTATGATACACATACAGCAATTTAGTTTTATCTCTTACTTGGAAATAATACATTTTTTCTCTAACAACAGAAACAAATGGCAAGATGAAGATCACTTTCTTCTTTCTTTCTAAAACAGTCTTAATCAACAGGATTTCAGCAACAAGAGTTTTTCCTGCAGATGTAGGCGCAGAATATACAAGATTCTTTCTCTCTTGCATTACTTGGTGATTTGATAAACATTCCATCTGCCACGCAAACATGCAGTCTACTCCACGAGCAATGTATTTCTGACAAATAATAATAACTATTAAAATCATTGAATTCTATAACATAGCATGTATGATAAATATATAGAAACTATACAAGATATTAGAAATATTGTGCATTTATTTTAGATATAAAAAATCAAAAAAGAATTAAAAATAATGGCAGTTATTTTAATATCAAATAATGAACAATGTCAAACTGATATAACAATAATAAAAATTGAAAAGTTGTGATAATGTGAGCTTCAAAAATATAAATAAATACAAAAAATTGCTAATTATTTACAAACATGTTTTATAATTTCCAAGAAAAACTATTTAATAAATATTTGATAAATATATTGCATACTTATCAAATATTGATAATAATGATACATTATCAAGATATTTTATATTAAAATTCCAAAAATTATGATATAAAATCATAAAAAATGCACACATCTATTATATTTTATACATAATTATATTGCAAACATTTATTAAATATAACATCGCAGAATAATATTGATAATAATGAAGAATAATGATAATACTTGAAGAATATTTGGTGGTAAACCCCATGATGCTAATTTACATCGATCCTGCGTGCAAAGAGCTCGAGACAAAATAACATTCGAGATTTCTCTATCACATGTACTATCAATAGTTGATGATATTGCAACGCTACTACCACTTATTGCATTATCAATGTTATCATGAGATCCATTTTTATGGAGATTTTGTGTGCTAGATTTATCGCATTTCTTTACACTGTTAATAACATCAGAAGGATGTTTAATATTCCTTTTAGTTTCACGAGGGCTCCGATTTTTTTTAGATGACAGAATCTTATCTCCTTTTAAAGCACTCGATGCTGAGGATACATTCTTTGTCCTGTTAATTTTAGGAAATAAAATGCTATTTTCGAAATACTCAGTAAAGTCGGATTCATTCTGTTTTATTATTCCTTTCGTATTATGCGTGAAATGTGACAGTTTCGATTGATCCACGTCGCTGTCCTTGCTTGAAAACTCCGAAACCAGTAAGCACTGTTTAGAATTTTTGCCCACATCGCCACTGTTTTCTTCTCGCAAGACATTATCTCCTCTCTGTTCTTGCAAAACTCTACAATTCTTTTCAATATTTAGATCGGCGAACAGCGTATCATCGCCAAAAGACTGCATTATTTCTCGGAGTCGCGAGTCTTCCAGCGTATTTTGACCGAGGCGATTTAAATCGGTCTGAGAGCAACTTCAGATATAAGTGTCGCCACCGGTTTAAACAGATTTTTCCCTTCGCAGTTGATTAAGAAATCACTATATTTATATAGCGATTTGAGTCGAAAAACTTGTAAAACGCGCGATTGGTTGTTGGCTAGGGAATTCTCGAAGTAGTTTCTAGGATCTTTGGAAATTTTTTGGTACGCAGCCAATGAGCAGGTTGCGGGACAAATGTTCTCTCATCGGTTCGTAATGAATGTAGCCGCATATTATTCATTCAAAAGTGTGTTGATGTATCCAACCTTTGTTCGCTTTTCATGATTCATGAATTTAAAAAATTGGTCGTAAACGCAGCTGCTTGTCTAACAAATGATTTGATGAGCGTCTTTTAACGCAAAGTACATCTGACAATTGTGGATATATTAATGATATTGTTATCATGGACGTAGATTTGCTTAGACCGGGAACAGTGCCAATTTCGCCGGATACGATACTATGGTTCGAATTTTTATTAAATCCTTCTTTACTAAAGAAGCATCTGTCAAAACCATTTCCAGGTAAACATAATGTGTACGATGTTATATTCACTATATTAAATTAAAATATATTGTCAATAAATGTATATTATATCAAATAAAATATTAAATATATATGATGTTAAATGAATTATTTTCACAATTCAATCATGGAACATTACACGTATGAATATTATTTAAATAATACTTTTCATATACATCGTGATTTTTAGATCCATCGCCTACAGATCTGATAATTAAATTTATGACAATTAATTCTGATCAAAAAGAGATTGAGCCAAAAACGATTGATACAGAATTAAATGATGTAAAATCTAACGGTATAGCAAAGTGGTGTCATAAAAATTTAGCATTGAAGATACTTTCCTTGAAAGTAGCAGCATATCTAAAATGGGACTTGGATATACTGGAGAAGAAGCTACCTTTGCCAATACAGTTGACATTGCTGCAAGATCTATTTTATGTTACCGCCGATGTTGCAGTAGAGATACCTACAATTCCAGAATTCTTTATAGAAACAGCTTCCGACCAATTCCTGTTTACATTAGTTTTATATCACAGATGGCATTTGAGAGCAATTATTTACAGGGCTCTCAGTAATAAACAACCAAAACAACAGTTACTTCATATGTAAGTTTTATTTTCTCAGCATAAATTATTATATTGTTTTCTATTTGTGTGTGCAACAGTTTAAAAAGATTTTATTTATATACTAGACCAGGTACTCAAGAATCGACATATGTACCTCCAAGTGTAGTGGATGATATTATTAGGAAATTAGAAGCGCACATACCAAACAGTGTAAGTGCTTTAAATGCTATTTTACAAATGTCTGATATAAAGCCAAAGATTCCTTCTTTTGATACTTTTCAAATGTTGACCGAGGACAGTACGGAAATTAAGCAAAATTGGGAAAATATGTGCCTGGTAAACATAGATGAATTTCAATGTCAGGTATGGAATTTGCAAACTAGATATTATTCTGTCTCTCATTGACAGAATAACAAAATATTTATTTCCTTCTTAGATACATTACGATCTCGCGATGTTTCATTTATTGAGGGAAGAGTATCAAGAGGCAAAACATCATATTAAGCGAGCCAAGGAATTGTACAGTAATTTTAATCCAGCAGAAAAATTAATATACTGTAAAGTGCAAAAAGAATTTTTAAACGGCTGTTGTTTGGCGTGCGAAGTGCCGCTGGAAGAAATCACGCCCAGTCTTACGCAGCGTTTGCAATCCTCTATCAAAGATCAATACACTGTAAGTATATTTTTGTGCATCTATATAAAATCGACATGCGTTATATATTCTTGAATAATATATACTCATAATACACACATATGCAAAATCTGCAGAATATATTGCAGATTTTGCAAGCAGATAATATTTTCAGGGAAATACCGCAAGTTTATAGAGATAATTTGGAACTGGATGTGCAAGGTGGGTTGGTTAACAGAAAATTCGTAGTTGCCCGGGATCTTCTGCTGCAAATACAGAGCTTAAATCTGGTTAGGAAGATCCTTGACAACAGCATAATACTGGGTGATTATATAACGGAAATTAAGGCAGCTGGTACAAAGGGTCTGGATGTCTTTTTTGGGGTAAAACTTATAACTTTCATATCTTTAAGTATTTATTAGCTCCCTCTAAGTAAATTCAAAATAATTTTTCTCCATTTTTAAATAATTAACTTTTTTTGCGTTTTGAATAGAATTAATTTTCTTTCACTATGTACCAAAACAGATTTTCACTATTTCTAATTATCATCTAGAATAAAATTTTTCTTTTAAATTATTAAGCAATAAATTTATTATTTATTATATCGTTATGTTATATTTGATGCTTTAGGCTTTAGATAATGTACTGGAGAAAGCAACAGTTGCAGACAAAAAACGAATTTCTCGTTACCTTCTTTACCTTATGAATACTGCTGATGTAGAAGGATTTGCTTCGAAGATACTTAATAATTCTTCCTTCTCGTCGTTATTCGATGAAACGGAGCTTACTGTCTTTCAACAAGCAGCTTCCAACGAGATTGTATTACCAAATTTATTGCTGCAAAATGACTGGGGTATACCATCTGTACCATATATACGTATGTATAAACCATATAAAAAAGAAGAAAAGAAGTATTATTAAGACATTAACAGATATTTTATCTTACTGTCAAATATGACGATTTTGAAATCCCGTTTTTATCTTTATTTACAGAAAGTGCGAGAATCGAAGTGTTCGAATTGGAACAGAAGTTGATAGAATCATACGATTGTCACACGATCCGCGAAACATTGATCCATCTGGACGGAAAGAAGCGTATGAAACCATTATGGCATGTGAACAGCTGTTGGGAATTGCCCATACCATTGCAGAGCGTAGTAATGTCGCTTCCCAGGGGTTTTATTCAGGATTACTCTTATATTTTGCTTGCGAAGAGTCGAGAATTGGTGACATCCAAAAATTTCGACAGCGCCATCGAGCTGCTGAAAATACTGGATAAAGAGCTACAGGAAAATTTAAAAAGTGGAGGTTCACTAGTTTTTAAATTATGCAAGCTGGTAAACTGGGAATGCTTGCTTGTCGAGATATGGAAATGTTTTAATGCTTGGCCGGCAACAAATGTCTGTAGGTACACGAAGAATTAAAAATACCTGTGAATGAAAAAGAAATCTGTAATTATTTTATATATTATAAGTATTATATATTTCAGGTGATATGCAAAGTATGGTCGCACGGAGCAAACAGTGCCTTGGTGCATTAGAAGCATCTGATCAGCTAATTCCGCGGCAAGAAATAATAGAATATTGTACGGTCTTTCTTTTAAACATGGCCGAATGGGATCATCTTACTAGTTTGGAGAAGCGGTGGAGTTACACTGAATTCGCAGCTGCTATCAGCGGTGTTTGCCAAGACATTGTCAAATATAAGGGAACTCGCAAATTTTCGCGGGACGCTTGGGATATGAGTAAGTATGTTTATTAAAAATTTTATATGTATATATCACTTGTTGTGGTATATATCGCGTGTTTTTTTAGTTTTAGTCGCATTTGGTCCTAACAGAGATCAACCACAGAAACGCAGCAGTAACAGTGGAAGTTCTGGCAGTGGTGTGTCAAGGGACATTGCTGCTAGTATCGCCGTTACGCTTACCCGACTACGAGAACCCATGGTTCTTACTGTAGTGATATCATTGTTGGCACGTTTGCGCAATGTCTTGCGCGACGAGTCTAGTTTGGAATTACACACGCAGTATCTATCCCTTTGGCCTGCTGGAGTACCAAAGTGCGTTCATCATATTATATAATTTTTATATTATAATAATTCATACCAAATTTATTTTCAACTTATATAAAGTCGACAATATTATATTTAAAACCTTAATATTTAATATCAACTAATATATTTTATACATTGTAACAATATATACTTAATATTTTAATAATATTTACACAATTTTACATTTATAGCGCAAATTCATATAACATAAGATATATCGGAGAATTATTATTTCAACTATTGACACAGGCTCTGAAATATTATCCCTGCAATGTACCTTGGTTGAGATTAATGGGTGATCTTAATTTCGGTATGTTTCCGTCATGTTATGAATATCAAATATATAATATCAAATATTGGTACATAATAATATTGTTTTGTTTCTTTTCTCCAGTTCTATCGTACTATGAAAGTGCAATGAAGTATTATCTGGAGGCTATCATGGTAGCTAGTGATCTATTCAGTCAACCGACACCACGCATACAAATAGACGATCTTGTTTACAGAAGAATGATCAAATGCTGCGCTCATTTACAATGCTACACCCAAGCGGTTGTACTGTGTCAATTTTTAGAAGAAGTAGATTACACTCTGGCATTCAAAATGGCAGGCAGCGATCAAAAAAGCTGTGCAGCAGCTGATGCTATGGATGCATATTATCATTGTATCTGGGACACAACAATACTGGAATATCTCATATATCTACATACAAAACGCGGAGAGCATCACAGAAAGCAACTCGCGGTAAATTGAGTATTAAATAATGTAACAATAATGAAACAATTATAAAGCACGATTAAATAACTACATTAAAAATAATATTATATATGAATTAGCCAATTTTTTTGTTTTCTATTTAGATTTGAAATAGTAAATATGTGAATATATATTTTTGTATAGTACATGTATAAAAAGATACAAGAAGTTTTGCTTTACAGATCAAGGTCATTGGCTTATTGGAATTAAATTCTAACAACAACGAAGAGATTCAGAGAGAAGCGGCTAATATTCGGAAAGCTAAATTTTTAAGGGCGTTAGCAAAACAATATGTTTATTAAAGGAATATCGAAATATTATATATGTTTATAAATCGGACGAAAAGTTTTGTACATTGCAATATAAAACTAATGTTGTATTGTATGCTTGTATGTGTAAATGTTTGTGTGTATGCTTCTATTTAAAAAATAATGTAAAATAAAGATTTTGGTTTAGTTATACATTATCTTAATTTAAATAATTAATACAGAAATATTTGAAATTCGCGGGTTTCACATGAGATTAAGGTAGGTTTCTAATTATTTCATATGACAAATTTATTCCAAATTAATTTTGAGTTTGATATACAAAATCTTCCAAAGATTGCCAATTCGACAGCCGATCGACAGCACCTGTAACAAATTTCTGTACGTTAATTAAAGAACCGCAAGTGTATATATCGTTAAGTCCGTATCAGACTATGCATTGAAATTGAAATTTGACCAATCAGGACAAGGAAATTTTAGTTCTTTTTATCCTGAGTGGTCAAATTTCAATCTTCAATACATAGTCTGATACGGGCTTTAGGTTCATATTCAGGTGAAGGAGGGGGCATTTCTTCGGTATAAGAGTCAATTCATACGCCATGGAAGGCTCCATCATTTGACGTATGAGTTGACATTAGATTTCTAGAAGAGAGTACAAACACAACGTGTACATACGTGTTTTGTGAAAAGATTACATTCTCATAATGAGTACAGTAGAAAATTCTGTAAGTTATTATTCTCATTGTTAATTGTAATGTTATTTTATATTATGGTATATGTATCTCGTAATGAAAATGACCATTGTGCTAATTTATGCGACATTTATATTATTGATGATAGACAGTCAAATCCTCTCGTCGCGTATGGTACACTGAATATAACTGAAACTGTTATAGATTAATATAAAAACACTAAGCTGTGCAATTATTTTTTTTTAGGATATTATATATGTATTATATTTTAAATGCATTCATGATTATTCGCGAATTTTTAAAACCAAAACGAGAAAATTGTTTCTTTTTATATAAATAAAATTTATAATTAAAAATTTGGATCTTTTTGTACCAATGGACCTTTTTGTACAATTTTTTTACAATATAATTTTGTATAATCTTTTATAATAACAATAAAATGCAATTTCTTGTAATCTATTTCTATGAATTTGAATTCAAGCATTTTTCTCTTTTTTTATTAAAGCAAAATAAATGATATTTATTCTGCAGGTAATAAAGATCAATAAATGGGACGGTTCAGCCGTGAAGAATGCTTTGGACGACGCAGTCAAGGATGTACTTACAAAGAAATATAATTATATAGAAAATTTTGCTCTTCTTGATGGAAGACTTGCACTCTGTGGGATTGCAGTTACAATAGCTATCATAGCATTGTTGTGCGATTATCTGTATCCATTCCCTGCTTCTAAACCTGTTTTAGTAGCCTGCGTTTCTCTGTATTTTATCCTGATGGGACTCTTGACGTTATATACAACGTACAAAGAGAAAGGCATATTTGTGGTTGCAATCCAAAGGTGAATTTATGATCTTTTCTAATCTATAATCTAGAATTGTGTTCTATTTTTGTTTCTAAGTCTTTTAAGTCAATCACTTGTCTCTGAATTTTGTACATATTTATTATTTAAATTGTTTTTAATATTAATATAAGATGAAAAATTAGACAGCTACATTTAACGCTAAATATATAATAAAAAAAACAGATTTATAAAATTATACAATATGTTATGATTTTTCAGAGATCCAGCAGGGTTCAACCCTGATTTAGTCTGGGAGGCAAGTTCCTATTTGAAAAAATATGATGACAGGTACAACTTGGTATTGTCGGTTAGGAGCGTTTCATCAGGCAACATTAATGAGACAACAGTAACTAAATCTATTGCAAATTTTATCGATGTTAATGGTGTGGTGATTCCAGAATTGATAGAAACCGTTGTGACGAGTCTGCATGATAGTCTGACATCACAACGCAAGGAAAAGTAGCAGTATTTTGATACTTGAACAATGAAGTTACTTTCTGTTCTAAATGAGAATAAATTCAATATTATTGCAATTTTTCATCTGTCATTTAAAATAGGCAATCCATATTTTTACGTTTCCAATCTGGTGTAATAATATAAATAACGCATAATGAAAGTAAAATATTTATTCCTCTGTGTGTGTGATGTGGGTGTTACAATTATTATATTCAACATTTGATGAAGAGGAAACAAACATTAAAAATATTCATTTTCTAGACAAATAAGTAATGCATTCATTATTTATTTTTATATCCTGTTAAAAAAACATTACTGATCAAATTATTTGCATATATCATATATATATATACAGGGTGTCCGGTAAAGATTGTGCCAACGCTCGTGAGCGGGTAGAGCACAGTAATCTGAACAGAAAAGTCCTTTGCCATTTTGCGATTTTCGTAATAATTATTGAGAAATTAATTAAAAAAGATCGACCAATTCGCGTGAGTATAAGCGCGCGGCGAGAAAGAACGGCCCAGAGACAACCCAAAAGTTTGTGGTCGTTAGGCGCGCGACGAAGTTTTGGGAGGAGCGCTCTACAAATGACAACGGTTACGTACGAGCAATACATAATAATGGATTCCCGCGTCCTAGCAACCACACATCAATGGGTTGTCCCTTTTTACTGCGCGCTTATACTCACGCGAATTGGTCGATCTTTTTTAATTAATTTCTCAATAATTATTACAAAAAT